TTGCATAGAGTGAGCAAAATCTTCCTTTGCCAAGTTTGTTAAATTACACAAAACACTCCAGGTGCCGCTATAAAAATCTATTTGCAGGCGAGTGTTCAGTCTTCTAGATAAATGCTCACCGATAATGATGAGCCTGGGCTTGGTTGGAACCTAATTCGTCTGAGTTTGCCCATGCCCACTCAGAACTTTGACATTCACCACCTCCTCCCTTCCCAGTCAGTTGCAGATGGGTGCATTCCCTGCCCCGAAGCTATATGTCCCAAAGGGGCAGGGAATGTGCCTGCCACAACTACTGGAGGAGGGGGTGGCGTTTACAGTTTTGTGCTGGCTTGGGCAAACTCCAGCAAATTGACTTCAAAGTAAGTCCGGGCTCATCTCTACTCCCCATCAATTTGTTCAAAGTAAGATGGTGAGAATACCAGGACACATGCACACCTTTGAGCCTAGTATGCCGTCATTTGAGTATTATTATACATACTGAACAATTATACCTTCAGTACAAATCCCCAGGATTATCCAACCACTAACTTATCTTCATTGTCAAAACACAGGCCAATTATTTTAAGAGATACTTGCAAGCTAGTTTAATGGATGTATACATATTCATGTATAATAATTATTTTGGTACAGGAAACTGATTCGGCAAGCCCTTGTCTTCCTTATCTCTCCATGCAAAATTCCCTACTGTTTCATCTTCCTGACATGAGAATGGTGCACATAATCTTTTGTACAGGATATAGTCACTTATTTTGACATTTGAAATGAAGGCTAAACAACCTGTTAAATACCAATTAAAGCAGGCAGTTACTTTGGTTGAATGTAAATGAAAGTGATTAACCACTTACTCGCAATTTAGCAATATGAGCACTGTGCAGATAAAGAGCAGCATTAATTGAGTTCCAAAGCCCCAGCATATCCTCTCCTGTTATAACATCAGCATTGTAATTGGAATACATTCTAGAGTTGTTTTTCATAATGGAATCAAAATTTATTTGGAAAAAAACCCTTGTATGTAGTGAGTGCTGCCTTCCGTCTGCCCATCACTTTCATCAGCTTCCTGGTGTGCTTTGCGTCTCTGTCCCTGCTGCTTGATATGATGCAATCTCAATTTCTCAATATTACATAGCCCATAATTAATTGCTTCCAGCAAGCAATGGTGATACATTGTTCAGACATTGAGTTGAAGTTCACACGACCGGCTCTTGTTGTGACACCAGGCAGTGCATATTCACAGGGCTGAGTGATTTTGTGTCAGTGCATTGAGGAAGTCCATCCTATGGACATCTTCAGTAAGTAAGTTTATAAACTTCTAGATGGATCTGGTTATTAGGAGTGGGATAGAACTTATGGAAATTCAATATAGAAATACAGATTTATTTTTAGTTTCTGACCATAGACCCTTTACGAATACTTTGTCAAGATAGCGTTCACATGCATGATTCTCAGGTCTGTGTTAGGCCATTTACCTGAACTTCAGCTTTAAAATGATGATGCATTGCTGATGTGGGTGCGTGGAACTGTTCAATGGTCTTAAACCTTTCACTGATGAGGATTACACTGGACCTCTTTTCCTTTTTTATGCCTGTGTTTTTGTAGCAAAGACGAGACATAATGGAGATAGGTACTGTCTTTTTCTGCTGTCAGGGTTTTACTTCATTCATTCCCATAATCTTTTATATATGGAGAGGGACAACACTTACTCATTCTCTGAGTTCCACAGTAGGACTACAGAAATGTGTGTGGCCTTTCATTGATGAGCCGCTGTTGTCCTGAGAGGAAGCCCTATCCCATTTCCAGCAATGATATTGGTCCACAAAGCTTCACTACTGCTACACCCATATGCACGAGGAAGCTTTAAGGACTATTGTTTATTCCCATAAGAGTGAGCAGTGGCCGTAAAGCGATTATTTGAGCAACTTTATATATTGTTTAATAGTTACAAGGAGTTACTGATATGACTGTGAATAGCCTATTGTTTAAAATGTTCTTGCGTAGGTCCACTAAATTTGACCAGTCATTAAAATTCATATTGCACATACTGGAAGTCAATTGACAATTGATAACATTATGTTGAGTAAGAGGGGAGGGGGGAGAAAAAAAAAACCTACCTCCTTAACATGATCTAAAGCTCAGGCAGCTCAGATCACATGGTCTTTGACTACCAAGATCATTGTGGGTTTTCCACACTAGTGACGGGCTCGGGCATGTTACTTATTTTGACATTTGAAATGAAGGCTAAACAACCTGTTAAATACCAATTAAAGCAGGCAGTTACTTTGGTTGAATGTAAATGAAAGTGATTAACCACTTACTCGCAATTTAGCAATATGAGCACTGTGCAGATAAAGAGCAGCATTAATTGAGTTCCAAAGCCCCAGCATATCCTCTCCTGTTATAACATCAGCATTGTAATTGGAATACATTCTAGAGTTGTTTTTCATAATGGAATCAAAATTTATTTGGAAAAAAACCCTTGTATGTAGTGAGTGCTGCCTTCCGTCTGCCCATCACTTTCATCAGCTTCCTGGTGTGCTTTGCGTCTCTGTCCCTGCTGCTTGATATGATGCAATCTCAATTTCTCAATATTACATAGCCCATAATTAATTGCTTCCAGCAAGCAATGGTGATACATTGTTCAGACATTGAGTTGAAGTTCACACGACCGGCTCTTGTTGTGACACCAGGCAGTGCATATTCACAGGGCTGAGTGATTTTGTGTCAGTGCATTGAGGAAGTCCATCCTATGGACATCTTCAGTAAGTAAGTTTATAAACTTCTAGATGGATCTGGTTATTAGGAGTGGGATAGAACTTATGGAAATTCAATATAGAAATACAGATTTATTTTTAGTTTCTGACCATAGACCCTTTACGAATACTTTGTCAAGATAGCGTTCACATGCATGATTCTCAGGTCTGTGTTAGGCCATTTACCTGAACTTCAGCTTTAAAATGATGATGCATTGCTGATGTGGGTGCGTGGAACTGTTCAATGGTCTTAAACCTTTCACTGATGAGGATTACACTGGACCTCTTTTCCTTTTTTATGCCTGTGTTTTTGTAGCAAAGACGAGACATAATGGAGATAGGTACTGTCTTTTTCTGCTGTCAGGGTTTTACTTCATTCATTCCCATAATCTTTTATATATGGAGAGGGACAACACTTACTCATTCTCTGAGTTCCACAGTAGGACTACAGAAATGTGTGTGGCCTTTCATTGATGAGCCGCTGTTGTCCTGAGAGGAAGCCCTATCCCATTTCCAGCAATGATATTGGTCCACAAAGCTTCACTACTGCTACACCCATATGCACGAGGAAGCTTTAAGGACTATTGTTTATTCCCATAAGAGTGAGCAGTGGCCGTAAAGCGATTATTTGAGCAACTTTATATATTGTTTAATAGTTACAAGGAGTTACTGATATGACTGTGAATAGCCTATTGTTTAAAATGTTCTTGCGTAGGTCCACTAAATTTGACCAGTCATTAAAATTCATATTGCACATACTGGAAGTCAATTGACAATTGATAACATTATGTTGAGTAAGAGGGGAGGGGGGAGAAAAAAAAAACCTACCTCCTTAACATGATCTAAAGCTCAGGCAGCTCAGATCACATGGTCTTTGACTACCAAGATCATTGTGGGTTTTCCACACTAGTGACGGGCTCGGGCATGTTCGCAGCTCCACGTGCCAAGCCCGCCAGGAAGCTGACAGAGCCACAGCGCCAATCACAGGTTCTGAGACATGTTCCCGGTCCTGTGATTGGCGCTGCGCCCTGTCGGCTTCCTGGGGGGCTCAGCACGTGGAGCTGCGAAAACGCCCGAGCCCATCACTATTCCACACCAGAGAGTGGCTTCGATCTGACTTGCAGCGTGATAAAAGGATCTGCAGTTCACATCCAGAAGCAAAGCTTGTATTTGTAATGAGCAAATATGGCATCTTCCGTTCATACATAATATCAAACCAAAGAAAAGAGGTTTTTTAAAACATTCACACACCAAGATAAGACTGAGTTCAATAGTGAACCTTTTATATTAGTATTCAAAGTTATAAAGTCTTTCATACCTTTAAAATGTGACATTTGTGAGTGCTGCAGAAGCCTTGACTTTAAAATGACTTTGTCATAACAGAAACATGGGGGCTGCCATTGCTGACCTCCTGGCTGTCATACTGGTGTTTTCTGAATCTGACCTGAGACAAACAATGAGAAATTCTGACACTCGTATGCAGACTGTTTGTTCCAGGTCTGTGACTGAAAATGATTGAAGCCAGACCCTGCCAGGCAACTATCATTTCTGCAGCCAGCAATGGCAGCATCCATGCTTTTCTCATGGCAATCAAATTTAAAGTGACCATGTGGGCCAACCATGCTGCTTTAGCTTGTGGTAGCTTCAAGTACCTGTGTTAGTCTTCAAATCAATCGCCTTCCTTGTGGAGCCTCTTGCAATCCATGCCCATACTGCATGCAGAGCTTCATAGAACCCAACTCTGGCAGCTAACCTTGATCAATACATATTCATAGCCTCCTGAAAGCTGGAGGTGTGGCCAGTATCTCACATACACAGGTATAATCAGTAGTTTGAAAGTCCACACACCAGCTTTAAAAGAACTTGTACTCTATTGGATCAAAATGAAAGACTTACACAGCTAATCAACATACTTTACATATGCAGGGCTTCAACTCTGCTAGCCAAAGAAGGCCTAGCATTGTACTCCTGAATGTCAGGCTTATGTGTGGAGTAGGGCTTGGCTAGAAGATGGGGCCCAGTACGCAGACTGGTACTTCTCAAGTCAAGGGCTTTGCAGCACCTGCACTTCAGCGGTGGTGTTAGTTTACCAATGTTTAGGACCTTACAGGTTCTTGTTTTAGGATATATATATACTTTTAAGAAGAATGGTTTTTCTTCCATGGCTTAATTCTGTAAACTTTTCCGGTCCAGCATAGTTATTCAGTAAATGTATACTTTTTCTAATCATTAATATTTGACATCCTCTTCCAGGAACAAGTGGTTTTGAACCTGGACAGTCGCCTACTCATATACCCACTCTACATCTGCTGCAACTTCTTGTACACATCTCCCGAGAAACGAACAGAATCAGAAGGTCAGCTGGAAAACACAGACGGCTAAGAAGACCGATGCAAACAAAGATCTCAATATGTAATCATTAGAGCATTTTATTTTTTTTGCTGTCAGGTTTATTTTGCTGAACCGTTTGTGCTCTACTGTCAGTATGTGACTTATGCTGTGGGGTTCTGCAGCTTGTAAAGCCTTTCTTTCTGTGAGATGTAAAGAATTTTACCTGTAACACACCAGGGATCAATGGATTCTAGGGCAAAGGACAAAGAATAATGTCGCTAAAAGCTGTGATCCCCATTTTGTTAATATTAACGTGACACTAAACTCAGATGTTTAATCCTAAAAATAAATTCAAGTAACTTAACTATTAACAAAAATGTATCTTATTTGTGTATCAGTCGGCTGTAGATCCTCAAATCATCTCTGAATTGGTGCTGACACTGTCCTTCCTTGTGGAGGGTGGCTACTTTTGTTACCTGTGTTGTAAGGTAGCCACCGCTCTAAGCTCACTCCCGTGATGGACTACAATCTCAATACAAATTAGTAAGCTAAACATAAGATTGTAGTTCATCACGGGAGTGAGCTTGGGGTAGTAGCTACTTTACAACACCAAGAGAGACCATGGGGAACACAAGAAGCCACCCCCCAGAAGGAAGGACAGTATCCACACAAATTCAGAGATGATTTGAGGATCTACAGCCGAGTGATACGCAAATAAGATACAATTTTTTTAATAGTCAAGGTACTTGAATACATTTTTAAGATCGAACTCCTGAGTTTAGTGTCACTTTAAAGAAAAGTTATGTGAAGGGAATTCCTGGGAAAATGTTAATCTAACTTGTCTGAGACTGATCCCTGTAATAACTTAAATGCACTTCATGCAGTCTCCCTGCAGTGTTTGGGAGACTGTAGTCTGATTTATAAAATACAGGGGTTTCAGAGAACAGAATCATTGTATTTTGTAGTCCTGCTGTAATTTTAGATTTCATCCGCAGATGGCAGTCTAGGGAAAATCTACAAATTTCAACTCCAAGTTTAGGTAAAATGTTTGGGCAATGTGAGAAGAGGACCCTTTGTGTTGAAGGTTCTGTCAATCGTCAATTTAAAATGTAAAATGATTTTCCTCAGCCATAATGACTCCTGGAATTCATGATAGTCAAGGATATTCCCTGAGCATGGCACACTTGTCTTGGAACTTAAGTACACTTATGGAAAAATAAATGGTCACAGCTAAGCCAGGCAAACTAGTTGGTAACAGATTTTTTATATCATTGTGGCATCTCAAATTGGTCATTTTCAGTTTTCAATCAAAGTGATGACCTGACTGATGCAATTATAGTTTCTTTTCGCTCTAGTTTTCTAATTAAGTCCACATCTTACAGAATGTAGGCTGTTCTGCCAAAAGTGCTGCTTTAACATCGCAAGCCAAAAGTTACCTTAAAATATATATATATATGTGTGTGTATATATAATGTTCTGTTTAGACTTGTAGCAGGTGCTTATTTTTTTATGGAACGCAGCAATCTGCCATGCAGATTTTGTTTATATTTATTTTGTAATAATGAAGGCTGGCCATGTAAAGCCCGGTCCTGGTGAGCAAGATTTCAGTTTGAATTGCAGGGATTGGGCTGTGTAAGGCTTCCCCTGGTGGTGAATAAGCTTTTAACAGGGTTATTCTTAAAAGAATGAAGAGTTTGGAGAAGGCAGGAGAAGTGAACAATCTAGGACAACATAGCTGAACTGGAAAGTGAGCTGAGTTGGAGAATATGTCCAAATCGGCTCTTTTGGCCTAGATTGTTCACTTCTCCTGCCCTCTCCAAACTCTTCACCCTTTTGTGATGAACCCTGTAAATGTTGACCTCACACAATATCGTACACAAATATTCTCCCATCTGAAAATCTAATTTCTCTTTTCTATGGAACCTATAAAGTGCTAATCTTATGGGGTTGCCAAACCAAGACTGGCATGCTGTTTAATGCCTAGTATTTAACAAAATATATAGGAAGTTTTAATGTCCTTTTTTCACAATGCTGTTGTAGCCTGTTTTTGTCTTTTAAAAAAATATTTTTTTTTCAGACAAATGTTTCTTTTTCTCTTCATTTTTAATATAGTTCACCTATAAGCCTTAAAGATCCTGCAAACCTCCAGCTTAACTGTCACATGTATAAAGTAAGGCTAAACCCTTCGTAGAGCTTTTGGTCTCTTTGCTGGAAATGTCTTTTTAGATGTGAGATGATGAGGGCAGACTGTACACTAAGCTCATGTTACCCTTTCCTGATGTTTAGGAATTTTGTATCGGAGTTGGTTGCCTGCAGTATGCGTTGTAAAAAAAAGAGGGACCATGTAGTAGTCTTAAGACATTGCGTCCCTGACTTTAAATCCAGTTGTGGACTTTTCTCGGACTACTCTAATCTGAACATTTGGTACTTAGTCAGTGAATCAACATTCTGATGAAAGGGTTAGCAAAAAAAACCTAGAATTTTTAGCAAGAGGTTAGCAATGATGGCCCTTTCTCAAGAAAAGTCTACTGAGCTCCAGACACAAAAACTTTCTAACAGTCACAAAGATCTAAATCCACTTGGGGCCCACAAAAAAAAAATATTTTGCATACTCAAATATTACCTTGTATTTCCCTGCACTGGGTGAGAGAGAGCTGCAATGGCTGGTCTTTATTACAGGAAGCTCCTACACAAACAATGCAGCAAGTGTTTCACTCTGGATTACGGCACAGATTTGGAAGACATAAACAAAGGATACCTGGGTAATAGTAAAAATACCAATTGTATTTTTGTTTAGCCCAGATTTCAGCTTTAAAGTAAAATTTCTGTGGCTGTAAATTCAATTTACATGCAGCCAACCCCCATTACCTTCCATCCTAAACAAGTGTTGGAGTTTTTGTGAGAATCAAACTTGTACAATACAATAGAATGGTGAAACTCGGTAAAGTAGCTGTACATTTAGTTTTCATATATGTGGGTTGTGTTCTCATGAGCCTGGGTAATGTACAGCCTGTACAATATCACAGTAATGCTCCTGTAAGTGGTGAATGGCGCTTTGTTTAGGTGCGGTTGTGCTTTGAGTAAGTGTGCAGTTGAATGTAATGACACAAACCATACCTGCTCTCTGGATTATGTGACTTTCTTCCTTTTTCTGTTGCAGCAGTATCTGACAACTCCATTCATCACGCTACCAACATTACCAGCATTTCCTTTAATGTACTCTGTAACTTGCTAATAAAAGAATGTACCTGCAAAGAAAAAAAGTTCATACACTCCTCCTCACCCTACTGGTAATGCTGTTGAACTCTCCTGTAGAGAAATTGTTGTCCAAAGTCTCACCAGAAACCAGCACATCCATGAGTGTTGAATTCCTCTCCCCCCCCCCCGCTTCTCTGATCCCTAAATTACTGATATGTCCTATAGTGATATGTGTGTTTGGCAGGGGAAACCTCCTGAGTGCAGTGGGGGGTCCAGGGGATCGACACTTCCATAAGTACCAGTTTCTGAATATAAACAGTTTGGCAATATCACTTTATTAGAACCGCAGCAGGAGAGAGAGGTGAGCAATTACTTTTATCTTTGCTGTTACATCTATTAGCAGTTGCATTAATCTATATAACTGGTTTAATAATTTACTGCAGCTGTCTCCTGTCAGAAGTCTTCAGTGCACATTTTATAAGGGGCTTTAGGTGAAATATGGCTATATGAAAAAATATATATTTTTACACAGATTAGAGGTTTATCAACTGTTTATAATTTGCACAGAACCCTTTTTTGTACAAATGGACATTTAGTAGAGTGGTTCTGTATGCAGTGCTTGCTGGGCTTTCATAATAAGCAAACCCAGGGAATAGTTCTGCCTCCGGTTGACAGCTTCAAAATGTATTGGTGTATGATGGCCTGCTTTTTACCCTGTGCTGATCAGATCGACCTGCTCAAAAATCAAGACATTTAAAATCTTACAATTAAATAAAATCTTACAATTAAAAATAGAATAAAATGGTGTAAAGTTGTAATTATCCCTCCCGCAGGGGGCAGAGACAGCTGGCTCTGGATCTAGAGAAGCAGAGCCAGATGTCAATCGGGCAGCAGGGGGGGGGATCCCAAAAATATTGTCGGGATCTTTCCCAGCTGCAATGCAGCTCTGCGCTGTCGCCATATTGCAGGCAATAACCCGCTATATCCTGAGTTTTGGGTCGCAGGAGGACATTTGTAAATGTCCCTCCTGTGACCCTAAAGAGAACTACGGCCAAAAAAGGTTTGGCCATAGTTCTCTTTTAACATTGCTGTTTCGTGTACAGGTCTTATTTCTGATGGTGCTCCAACAGAATTCACAAACTTTGTAGGCTGCAGTGTTGTAATTGTGGCCATGCAGCATTATCTACATAACTGTTTAGGGAATTGAGTGTCATAATGTTTTAGACGGGGCAATTTTATACATTGCCAATCAAAATGTTGTTAAGGTGTGAAAAGGTGCCGTTGAAAATAATGAGATCCTTAATGTGGAGCATTGTTGCACTTCAGGAAACCTGCAACGATGCGTCCAGGCGTGAATTGGGGCTTACCGCTTCCTGCTCCTTGCTCAGAGGTAGTTCAGTGTGGAGGCTGAAGGTAGACAGATTAAACTGGCTGATACAAAGTTGGACCAGTAAAAGTGGGTTGCCACTCGCCTACCTGTGCAGTGTGACTACAAACACATGAATTGCAATACTAGTTAAAGATCAACTCCACAGAAATGAAACCCTGCAACGCACAGCAAGGGTTAACGGCTTGTTTGTTCCTAGAGGACAGGAAAAAGCTGTTTTTTCTCATTTTTTTAAATCGGTTACGTTTTGCAAACTGATATATCAAAGCATTTAAGGGTAGACAGGTGTAAATTATCAACTCAAACCATTTGACAGATTATCCAACGTTTAATGGGCCTCATTTAACCACTTGTCAGAGATGATTTAAGTGTTTCATTTTTTTTTTTTAACCTCCACTTGAAAAATGACATCCCGGTAAAAATGAAGTCCGATCAACCGTTATTTGATCACATATCTTAGAAACACACAGGCCTGATACCCACAATTCTAAAACGTGAAGTCTGACTGACCTATAGGACCTTTACAGTCTGGCTGACCTATAGGACCTTTACAGTCTGGCTGACCTATAGGACCTTTACAGTCTGGCTGACCTATGGGACCTTTACAGTCTGCCTGACCTATAGGACCTTTACAGTCTGCCTGACCTATAGGACCTTTACAGGTCTGGCTAACCTATAGGAT